AAAAAAAAGAGATTTACAGCCTTGCAAACCCATTGGGAACAGTTCTACCCTATTCTATAGCACATTGTCATCATAACAGACTTGATGGCAAGAGAAAACAGTGGGTGGACAACTCTGTTAAAGGAAGGGACTTCCATTTCCCTTGACCCCCTTGAAAATTTTGTGCTTTTATTATATGCGTAGATTATGTATCCAATAACACTCCAAGAAGATAAAAACAAAGCAACTGAAATGGATTCAGCAACCACAGAAGCACGTGTAATGGAAACTTGAGAGGCAGAATTAAAGCACCAGAAATGTCTCTTACGAAGGTCATACGCGAAAGATGAGTCTGTAAACATCATCCATCAGCGGATCAAGCTGGGAAATGCTAAACAAGGTGTTAAGTGCAAAACCTGTAGATTCAAAATTAAATTTCCTTAGTGTTCATATTGAGAAGATTGAAGACATTTAGAACGTGGCACACACTCAGCTATGTTTAAAGCATGAAGTTATCTCAATGGCAAAATCTACTTATACTTATTGGGACAAATGACTGTGCTTTACCCCTTCTCTTTAAAAGAGGTCTAATATGGCCTTCAGCATTTATTTTCTACTGCTCTAGAACAAATCATCACAGATTTACTAGCTTACGATCACACTAATATATCAGCTCTAAAAGTCAAATTGCAGGTGGGTTTGGGTGAGTTCTTTCTTTTGGGTCTCAAAGTTTTAATTTTGACTTCAGGTTCAATATATAAAGCATTTAATAAATAGTTGTTTTAAACATGCAAAAAAGTTTCAAAATGAAAAATGATGAATAGTCATGCTGAATGTAATATGATAAAATCATCTAACTCGTCCTATATCTACTTAATTTGAAAATATTTTCCCTTCCACTACAACGAGTCCAGCACTGTAACTTGCCTGCTTGCCATTTTACACTGGTAAAGAAAGAACTCCAATTCTGATATTTCTTATCTCAGAATCCAAATTCATTGTCATGAATAACTATTGTTGAAAATAAATAAACATTCCACAAGGCTGATTTGAGCTTGTGTTGCTGATATTTCATTTGACTTTAAGGCAGCATTTCCTAAGATCCCCCTACCA